TTTTTTTTTTTTTGCCATAATTTTGGACTTTGACATTGTTTGATCTCATTAAATAACAATTTAAGAAATACTCAATTATAAAACAAATTACCAAATAAAAAAGTTTTGTAATATGTCAAAAGAACCTTAAATTAAGGATTATATAAAAATTTAGTACATAATACGATTTTCCTTTATTAGTTTCTCTCTTAATAAATAGATAGATATAGAATAAATTTCTAATGCGACATGACTAAATAGTTGAGCCAAACAAAAAAAATACGAAATAGAAGATGAAAAGCATCAAATCTAAAATAATTAATTGGATAAAATTTATGCAAAAATGAAAAATGAAGACATCCTGGCCCAAGACGTCTTGAAAATCTGGGACCCAAAACTTATAATTAAAAAAGAAATTAGTATAATTTTATGAAATAATATTAATAAAACTTGAATGATATGACATAAAAGGGTTTGGGTTACTATTATATTTTCAATAGTTAATACCACATCATTTTAATATAATTGTCTATTATACCCTTACATTGTTTTTTTTTTTAAATTTTACATTTTTTATTTCTTAATAAATTATAAATATAATAGTTAATTAAAATAAAAAAATATAGCATTAATAATTAAATGTGTGATAATAACATCACATCATAAAAGGTAGAAAATAAGACTTTTTATGCTTAGTTTTGTATGTATCTAAATTCAAAATTTTTTTATTGACATTATTATTTTTTCATACGTAACTCTCTCTACATGAATAACTTTAATATTTTTTAAAAAAATAAAGCTTCATACTTTAATTTTACAAATATTATATAATCACTATTTAAATTTTGTTAAATGGTATTAATAAAATTTTTAAAAATAATACAAAAGAAGTGAGATTATTGTCACACCTTAAATAGTTAATACCACATTATTTTAATATAATTATCTATTTTTCCCCTACTTTATATTTTTTCTCAAAATTATACATTTTTTTTTGTTTCTTATTAATTATTATTAGTTATTAATTACTTAGAAAAAGGAAATGGAAACCTTGCAAGAAATGGCTACAAAAAAAAAAAAAAAAAGAAGAAGAAGAAGAAAAGAAAAACAACAACGTTCCAAGTGTTCATGTAAAGAGAAGCACAGCCAAGAATGCACTGCACAATTTAAATATATACATAGTTGTAATATATTAATTGATGGTAGAATAACTCATTAAATAGTATGATATTTTTTT